ATATATGACTTTCTCTTGTTTCTGAAGCAGAAAGGAGACACTACAATTTTGCAAAGTGACAAAAACATTGCTCAAAATATATAAAAGTATAAATATGTCTACTTGTAATAGTAACTTTTTATTGAAATAAAGCATGCAACTCAGTCTAAACTTTAAAATTGATGTTGTGTAATGAAAGCGTCAGTCATGATTGTGTATAAGAATGAGTTTTGTCATAATTTCTTTCAGGAATGTTAGAAAATGTAACAATCATGAAACTGATCGCTGGCTTTTGTTGCTCTCAGAGAAGGCACAGAGCGTGACTGTCAACTGCAGAATAACAACGTTGTTGCAACAAAGTCTTACTGAGAGGTCGACGGAAAATAAAATCCTCTGAATCTCTTTTCTGGGCCGAAGTGAACAGAGAATACAATCCATCTGCAGCATCGTTTTCCTGAATAAATCAGAAACACAACTGTTACACCCTGCACGTTGCCTGCATGAATTCAGCAATAATCCCACTTTTTTTTGTCTTTTTGTCTTTCATTTATTAGATGTAAAAACTTACCTCGATGTATCGGGTGAGCCCGGTCCTCGCTGACAGAGAGACGAGACAGAGGAGGAGCTGTGCACGCAGAACCACTGACATACTGAGGTGCGTCTCTCCACAGATGCAGGGAGGAAAATAACAGCCCTCACTGAGAGCCGGCTGCTTTTATAGCAGCTCAAACACACACAGGCAGGCCATCAGCAGTCACTGAGCAGACGTGGAGTTATTTTTAATAATCTCTGAGTAAAAGCTGATATTTAAATCCATATTAAAGCATTTACACATGCTCGGCAGTGTGGAAGCAAACAAGGACAGATGATTTTATTAATAGAAATGTAGGCTCATTAAAACTGCTGCACAAAAAAACGTCATTTATTTCAGCCACTTGGGTGATTATTATAATACTGCACAACAAATGTACACTTTTAGGCATAATGTGAGCTACAGCACAAAGTTAACAAATTTATTTTTATCATAACCGATGAAATAACCTAAATAAAAACCTTGAGTTCAATACTGGTGGGCTTCTGGACCCAAACACAGACATAAAGGAGACACTTTCATGAAAACTCAAGATGCAAGCAGAAAATAGGTTAGGGTTAATAAAAACCAACAAGAAGGCAAAGAAAAAGAGAAAAAAAAACATTTCTACACAGGCAGGGGTGATTAGTGAGAGCGACAACAGATGCGTTAATTACTGATGGACAGGTGAGCTGGAGCTGAAAGAATGGATATGTGTGAATGTTTAAAAGCTAAAAAATTTTAAACTAGAGTAAATCTAAATGCTTATAACGAAAGAAAAATTAAGAAAACCGAACAGTTAACTCAACAGTAAACCTTCAACACCCTACAGAAAAGTTGTTCTCTGTTAGTTTCAGTGTTCAGATAAAATGTATTTATTATAAACTTAAAACAGTGATAATCATCTGTCAGTTACCTAAAGCCACAGTTACTGCCTGAGCAGGACAGACGAGATATTTAACTGAACTGTGACTTTTTGTTAACAAACCTCCATGATGGGAAAAAATACATTTAGGTTGTATGATTTACTGAAACCAAATGATCGGTTTCATAAAGGCACACCAGTTTAAAATTGTGAGTTTTTAGAAGGGGAGGTGTCCAAAAACCTCCGTAAGTCTTACATTTTATTTACAAAATGCTGGAGTGCTGACTTATTTTCCTAAACAAGACAATATTTCTTCTGTTTTAGAGATATTTGCAGAATCATCTGCATTAAACCATGGAAGATGGTTCCACCTTATTAAAAGCAAAAAATTGTCCCCTACAACTGGTTTCCTCCCAGCATGCAGCTTTCCACCTTGTTCCAAGAATCTCTAAACCAGAAAGAGAGAAAACATCTTTASTTTTCAGACTCCTCTCCTCTCAGCTCCCTCCATACCGCCTTCAAAACTAAGTTAGAAATGCACTGTATAAATTGGACAAGGATTATTCTTAAGTACTACTTTTCACATTTATTGTAACTAATAACCTGTATTACATATTGTAATGTGCTTTATTAGTTAGTTAATAGTTATACATTAGATTTTATTCTGCTGTCAATTTCTAACTAGTCTGAAGAGGCAATGAATAAGTTTGTGGAATAGTCTTGCTATTATAAAAACCTATAAAACAATATTTATGTTTAAAAAGATGATTAAGTATAAATTATTGGGATAATAGACCATTTGTGGCATCTATCCATCCATCCATTATCTATACCCGTTTCTTCCTTTCAGGGTCACGGGGGTCACTGCTGTCCATATTCAGCAGTAAAAGTGCGAGGGGCGGGGTACACCCTGGACAAGTCCATCACAGTCACAAGTCCATGTTTTTTGTAAATATGGGGATTATTGAAGCTTGATTTTGTTTGCTGAAGTTGATTTTTTTAAATAAGTGTCAAAATAAGTCTTTTTTTTACTTTGCACCTTTTCATTCATTGCATGATTTACTTTTTATTTTAATTTTACCTGATTTAGATTGTTTTGTTTTTATGAATGAAATAAACTGAATAAACTAAACTAAACGACTGCTTTTGTTGTTCTGTTGCATTTATTTCACCTTTAGTTTTGTGTTTTGTGTTTTCTGTTTTGTTAGTTTAGTTCTCTCATCCTTCTTTTTTATCTATTAGCATTGCTTAGCACTTTTTGAGTTATCTCTTTGTTTGAAAAGTGATAAACGAATAAAGTAGAGTTGAGAAGCAGTTTTATTTCTGCTGCTTTTTAAATGTTTATTTTACTGAATAAGATGAGAATATGTGCATCTGTTTTTCATGCATTTTCTTACAAACTGTGGAAATCTTTCCTCCTAGTCTGAAGGACTAAAAGGTCTAAACCAGATGTGGAAAAACAGGAAGTGAGGAAGTCCTCCTAAGTGTGAGTCTGTGATGTAATTTAGTTTGTTGCAACATGGTGAAATTCACTTAGATGAGACTAATTTTGGGTGTCTGTGCTGCTGTTTGGAAAGGTTAAACTCTGACGTAACACTAAGAGAGGATGATCACCCTGTCGCTGCTCATACACACRTCCCATAAAACAGCACTCGCATTCATGTAAAATGAAAATGAGACTTGGTGCGCATAATTATTCTGAGTTAATGATAGCTGACATTTTCTCCCACTGATGAAGGTCTGTGAGGCCACACAAACCGAAAGAAAAAAAAGCAGTAATGAATGTAATGAATAACATTTCCTCAAACAGAGTCTCAGTTTGTCGTCACCATGTTGATGACCTATTCAAGGTGTATTACTTTCATTTAAAAGCCACTGGTCACTGATTATAATTAATTCTCCCACAGAGTCTTTGATGTCTGAATCTATTAACCAGAAACTCACAGTTTAAGTTTGTTTTGTTAATGTGAATGACACGAAGGAAGCAGGGAAATGTCAGCGAAATGTTACACACTGTGTGAGTGGATATATTATAATTGTTTCAGTTCATTTCATCAGAATGAAGACCCTGATTCACCACAGGCTCATTGTAATGCTCTGAATAATAATGAATTGGAAAATGAATATATTTTTGTCTATTTGCAAAGTTTAATCTCTTTACAACTGCTGAAACTCTGAAAAGTGTGAATGAACACATTGACAACAATCAGAGTCACAGTGTAGAGATACAGGAAGAATGCAAGACTGATTGATAAATATTAAAATCACAAAAAAATAATCAATTTTTAAGTCTTTCTTTACAGCAGGGCTATTTAACTAAATTGTGTAAGGAGCCACAGTTACTCAAACCCAACAGCTTAGGGACCAGACAACATATCGTGTGTGGGGGCGTTGCCAGGAAATGGTAGGGGAAACACTAATATGAATGAGTAATATTATATTTGACTTTTTTAATGTGTTTATTTTGATGTGTTGAGTCAAAAAAATTACAAAATCAACATTTCTACTAAATTGAGTGAAAAAAATGGCTGGCCTGAAAGATGCTACTCACGGGCCGGATGTGGCCCATGGGCCAGCACTTGAACAGCCTTGCTTTGCAGTAAAACAAGTCCTAAAATCATACAGATTTTTTTAACTGTCTTCCCCTGAAAATAGGGAGAAAGCAACATGGGTTGTAGTGACAGCCAACATAAAACAATGTTTTCTTAAATGGTTTTATTTCTGTCCATTCTGGGCCAATAATTCTGTGACTGGTCCAGGAAAATGACTTGGTTCTGGTTCTACAGTGTCCAGCCCCTCAAGCCAAAAAAAAAAAAAACAAAAACTAAAAATAGACTATTTGTAATTGAATTTTCATCTCGATCTGTTCTGGAACAAATCAGACAGCATGCAGTTTTTATATTTTTATTTTTTATTGGTTTATTTATTATTTTTATTTTAGTTCCTTGATATACTTTGAGAACTGATGGTAGCTTTAAATAAGAAAAACAGAASTAAATTTAATTTAATCTTCTCATGGCTGTTTAAAAAAGATGTATATTGTTTTGACTCACATTTTCTGACAAAATTTATGAATACTGTGTGAAGATAACTCAGCTCCAGCATGAATCCTAATTGAGTTTTTTCTTATTGTCATCATGACAGAAATGAGAATGAACTGTATTCTTAGCAATACATGTCACAAAGTATGGTTTTCTGGAAAAAAATGTATTAGGCAAAAAATAAGTTCTGTTCAAACAAATTTAATTAAGATAACATTGACTGTCTCTAACTTAAAACAAAAATAAAGAAAGAGGCAGCAGCCTCTGTCCCAGCAACGTTAGTCTATAACACCACCTGGTGGTAAATGTTAGAACAGTATGTTTGTGTTTTACATGTTTTATAATGATATGAAAAATATGATGAATCAGTTAATTTTCAATGAAAATGACATCTTTTCTTTGATGCAACTGATYGGGCAGACATTTTGTAAAGACTGGTATGTTTTTTTTTCTGCTGGCTGGATGGGACTGTSGCCCCACATGTGGTCCAGGTAAAACCTCAGTGATTGTTGACTCCAGACATTAGTGTGTGAACCCTGCCTTATAGCCCAGCGTGCTGCCTCCTTCTCCACACCTGCTCCTGGGCAGAAATACAACATGTCACTAAGTATTTTTTGCTTTGCTGTTCATTGTGTGCCAACCTTCTCACATACACACTCACACACACACACACACACACACACAAACACACACTTCTTGTGTGGATCGGTCTGTCAAACACAGCGGCCCAGCCCCGCTCTCCTCAACGCCTGACTGACGCATTCATCTCCTGTGGGGGACGTAATGAGCTGACCCTCCCCGTTTGGACCAACCTGACAGAGAGAGATTATTTTAAAGTCTGCATGGATTTTCTCTCCTGCTCCTCCTCCCTGTTGCTCTCCCCCTGAAAGTGGTTAATTCAAAGTGCATTAATCAGGAGCGATGGATAACCACTCTTCTTTTAATTACCTTCCAACTGAGTTCTTCAGTGAAGCTCTGGGTGCTCCAGTTTGAGGCTGGCCCCATTGTTTAGCTTGCTTTATCCATTTCATTCTGTATTTCCTCCTCCTCCCATGTATTTTGAATGTGGGTCAATGTATTCAGGTTGGTGTTTTACACAACAGACAAAACTTTACCATATGTTTCAAAGAAATCTCAATCAATTCTCTAAACCGTCTGATGGTCTTTCAAAAGTTTTTCTTTGGACTTTGAGTGT